CTGGCGGTCGTCCCGAGCACAAAGCTGCCTGCCCTGCTCAACGACTTCCCTGTGAAACCTCCCAGGAACGTGTTCTCACTGCGAAAGGATTGGCAGCTCTGAGATGCTGTGTTACTGTAGAACTTGCTTGTGGGAAAGATAATGAAAATTGAAGCTTTGGTCATGCGTTAATGAATGATGGTCTGACTTTTGGACAAAGTCCTGAAAGCAGTGGTGGAAAGAAATGCTGCATAATGCCTGCATTTTCTTGAATCCTCCTGTGTCTCTCAGAATGAGATCTCTTACAGGGGCAGCCTGGTAAAGGCTCTAACTCATAAGGTTATATAATTTTTTTAGTGGTTCTGGTTTATTTTACCTTTAGGGGTCATTATGTGTTGGTGGTGAAGGCTGCCATTAAAGCAGAAATAATTGATTCATATTAGAAATAGAAGGATAATTATTCTAGAGAATACCTTCTGTTCAGTGTCTTTTGTCATGTGCCCTGTCAAAAAAAATGCAGGTCCTCATTATATACAGGTGTGAGTTACAGTTTCAAATATTCCAGGCCTCCCTCATGTAGGATGATTAGGTGACACAGTGATTTTTAATTTGTCTTCAGAAACCAGTAAGAGAGTCTTCCTCAGCCTTCAGCTGTTACTGGCTTTTCATTAAAAATGTGCTGTGGAGCGAGCAGATCTCATGCCTCTTCTTTTTTTTTTTTCTTTTTTTTTTTTTTTTTTTTTTTTTTTTTTTTTTTTTTTCTTTTTTTTTTCTTCTTGTAGATGTGTTATTTTAAATAGATTTATTTTCCTCAATTAGCTAATTTCATTGTCTGTAGCTTCATAGTGGTTGGGTTTTTTTCATTGATCTAAATGCTTGAAGCAAGAAGTGTTCATAGCATAGTTTTGCACATACAGAAGCTGGCTTATGGTAGTCTCCTGACTGAAGATTTATTTTGAGCCACCTTTTTGATCCTTCTTAGATCCTTATCTGTTCTTATGATATCAACTCCATTATAATACGTTTTTGCTCAGTCTCAGGTTTTACTTTCTGAATACACACCTTTCACATTATATGAGGAAATCAACTTTCCTGTTTTCTGTTGAAGATGTTTGCTTAAAAGTTTCTTGTAGCTATAATTGGAGAAGTCTTCTCTGTATAAGACCATGTAATAGGTTGAATTAGGCAGGTAAAGTTTTTTTTCACTGCTTCTCTTCATTCTGTTGTATCAGGGTGAGCTCTTATTTGTGTAATTGCAGCACTTCATTTAAATTTATTTTTGTCTGAGTACTTTTTGTGCTCTTAGTGAATTATTAATCCTGTGTTTTCTTTAATTCCCCTCCTCCCATGCTTTCTTTGCAGGTATTGAAAGCAAAGGCTTTGGGCTTTTTCGAAGCATTATTTCCTAGTTTTGTTTGTGTCTTCAAGCAGAAGAAGATAACTCACTCAATTTTTCTGTCTTGTGCTTGCCAAAAAGTATAGCACTAGGAAGTACAGTACATCCTGTGAAAGTGTTCATCTCTTGTATCCAGTTTAAATATTAGAGCATTTAATAGTGTGGTTATTTCTTCTACAGGAAGTAAGACTACTAAGAGGGGCTTGAAGCAGAGCCTTTAATTTATATATGCCAGCATTTTTGTTGTACTGTCCAATTAAATTGTTTTATTTAGAGTCATGGTCTGATGTTAAACAGAATTTTTACTTTTGGCTCATAAAGAGATAGAAACAACTACCAGTTCATTCAGTGGGGAGCGTGTGTATATACATATAAAATTGTGTGTATATAGATGGCTGTATATATTTATATATAGTTAGAGGTGCAAGGCTTTAGCTCATCCTGGGGAGCTGACTGGTGTGACACCCTTGATGCAGATGTGTCGCTGTGTAGACTGTGGGACTGGGTCTGCTGCTCATTACTGCTCATTAGCTGTAGATTACTGCTTCCCTTGCTCTCTTGGTTAAGTGGTTTGTAGAGCACTCTAATCCACTCAGTCAAATGTACCTGGGTTAGCTCTTGCCACTTACTTAAGTTGTCTAAACTGCCAGGTTGATTTCTTGCCTGAAGTGGGTTAGGGAATGTGGCCATGGCCTGTGCTGCTGGCAGAGCTGTGGGGTCAGTAAATTTTGGCAGGGAGGAAGAACAAGCAGCTGGGGCAGTAATGCTTTTGACTGGCATAGTTGTTCCTAGGCTGTTGCAGCTCCATGGTGAGCCACATACCGGATGTGCACCCTGCTGGATACCCCGGTAGCGGGTGCTTGATGGGGTTGCATTTCTGCTGAATTAGCTAGAACACAAGATACAAAGTTTGTATTAGCTTTATGCCCTTTGTAGGATGCCAGATGACACCTGGCATGAAGTTAAGAGTAATACTTGCAAACAGCTCTCAGGTCATGGCAGCCAAAGATGCAAAAGTAGCACACTGACACCTGTTTGAGTTAGTCTGATGGTGGAATAAGTGTTAGACTGGATGAACACTTTTTCATCAACAGAAGCAGATGTTCTGCACCAGAAACCCACTTAGTGTTAGGTCTTTGCTATATAGCACAAAACACCCAACCAAAATTACCCCCTCCCAAGCAAACCCAAATCCTGCCATGAGCCAGTTGTGAAGAGTATTTTATCCTATATGTTAGTATAGGAGAATTACCCTAGCTCTTACTTGTTCAATTTAAGGTCAATGGAAATGTATTCAAACTGAAGTAGCAGTTACACAAATTTTGCACTGCTTAAATTGCTCTGAATTTCTCAATTAACTTTAAACTGTGGTGGATTTTTTGGTAAACAAGCCTTCAGATTAGAGTACTCCAAAAACACCTAGGTAGAATAAAGATTTGTTCTTTTGGGGGCAAAAAAGAATTATACTTTTTCCTATCTACGTAGCATGCAGCAATTTTAAAATATTTTCTTGCAGTAGTCATTCTGAGTGGTAATACCAAATGTTAAGCGTTGAATGTGAATGTTTATGTTGAAATTATTTTAGAGTGCATGTAGTAACTCCTACCATATTTTGTTGCTTGGGTTTGGGTTTTCTGTAGAGTTTTTATTTACTAGCTTAAGTCAGTCTGTGTTTTGCTTCACAACATTTTAGGCTGTTGTGTTTGCAAAATGTGCACAGGTTTGCAACTGTAGGTTTTGGATACTGCTGGTGTCAGCAGCAGCTCTGAGCTTGGTGCGGTTCTGGGTGCAGGTGGTCAGGAGAAACATTCTGCAGTATCATGTCTTTAGCTTTAATGGCTAGGTCCTGATGCTCCTCAAGATAGGCTGGATCATCCCATCTAGTTGCCTGTCCTTGCTTTCCAAGCTGGAATTCACTTCTGTTTTCCTTACTTTCTGAATCATGCCCTTTCTTTGACCACACCAAATCAAGGGAGACCCTGCTTTTCCAGCCTGTTCTCTGCCTCCCTTGACCCAAGGCTTGTCCCATGATGGGCTGGGAGAAAGGATTTTTCTGCAGGTTGGCCCTGGTATAAGGTGTCACAGCCTTCAGGGATACAGCTGGAGACACACTGGAAAGAGATTTTGAATCCTGTCTTTGACAGGAATGCAGAGTCAGCTCCTGTCTGCTCTGTGCTGCAGTTTGGGATTCTCAGTCTTCAGGTGTGTTATTAAGTTTTTGTGTAAATAAGACTGATGTACATTTTTCTTTTGCCTTCTGTATTTAGTAATGAATACAAAAATTTTGCTTCCTGAACATGGGTGTTGAGGGCTTTCACCAAGTGTAGGTTTTAGATCTGAACTTCTAAGTTCATTAATCAATTCATAATTCATCAATATAAATTGTGTTGCTGTAAGGATAATTCTGTAAGTAGACTACAGAGCATAAAATGGTATATTTTGTAGAAGATTAAATTATTCTTTTTTGAGTAAGTAAAATTTATTTAAAGCTAAGTAAGGCAACAGAACTTGGAACTATTATATCAGTTTTTTTTTTGTTGTTTTTGATTTTTTTTTTTAATCTCTGTTACTTGAAAGCAAAGAAGACAACTGATTAAAAGCCTAAGCATGCTGTTTTGATTTTTAGGTATGAGTTTGTGTGATGTGTGTTTTCTGTTAATTTTTTTCTGAGAAGTTTACACCTGCATCTTAGCAGTAATAAGAATTAGTACTATGTTATTACTACTGCTATTTCTATATTTATATTTTAATATTGTACATATGACATATCTATTAGGGATAACTATTTTTAGATCTACTGTTAAAGTGAGATTTTTTTTTATAGATCTTCTATTTGCTTAAAAAAATTAGCAGCTTTTAAAGGAAACTTGGAGTCAGCTGATCTTGTTTACTACTATTGTTAATTTTTTACTAGGTTTTTAATAGGTTTTACTACACCTTGTAGCTGTGTTTTGTCTACAGCAGGAACCGAGGTAAAGGTTTTGTTCAGGCAGGTACTTTTTTTTTCCCCCTTGGTTTTCAGATGTTCATTTAAATAGTTTGGCAACACATTGCTCCTTCTGGTAAGAAAAGTAAAAAAACTTGGATTTGACCTTTAAAGTTTTTTCATTTCAGGCAGGAGTATTTGAGTCCAGTTTACCTTATACTTTGCTTATACTTAAAATACACTGAGTTTTTTTGTTTTCTGTATTGTATTTCATGTGTGCATTAATGAGAGGGTGTAAAATGTTTTTTTTCTTTAGTTTGTTACGGAAGCAGGCCCAGCTAGCTCTTGTTTCTTTTACCTCTCTGTAATTCTCAGGTCCATAGTTTAAACCTTAACCTATAATATTCTAAAATTTATTTTTAAACTGTTTTCTTTTTAATTTTAAATTGCATATGATTGTGGCTAATTGACTACCCAGCCTTTAACCCTTAACACTATGTTAATCACATACTGCAGACAACATTTAAATTCCATGAAACTAGGTTGGCTCTGTCATTTGTCATTTCTTTCTTTCCTTTCTGTGTTCGGGATTTGCTATTATTTTACTTTTTTTTTTTTTTTTTAGCCATTACATTCTGAATTACTGCAAAGTATTTAATACCACTTGGAATTTTCATTGCTTCAGACCTCACTGAAGATCAGATGCCTTTTGCATGAAAAATAATTTAATCAACAAAATATGTATGCGTGTTTGACAAACACCCCTTAAAGTCATGGCAAACTTTCCACATTTCATCTTTCACTATTTACAAAGCAAGTAGATTTCCTTTTTCTGATTTGAGGTCAATAAACTGTGTGGTGTGTCAGAATCTTAGAATGGCTTGAATTGGAAGGGACCTGAAAGATAATCGAGTTCCAGTCCCCCTGCCATGGGCACCAGTACCTTCTACCAAGACCAGGTTGCTCAGAGCCCATCCAGCTTCATACTTCAGGCTTGGGGCATCCACGGCTTCTTTGGATAGCCTGTGCTAAGGTCTCGCCACCCTCACAGCAAAGAATTTCTTACTGATATCTGATCTAAACCTTCTCTCGGTTTGAAGCTACTCCTCCTTGTCCTGTCACATGTGCTCTTTTGGAAAGTCCCTCTCCAGCTTTCTTGAAAGTCCCCTTAAAGTACCATAAGTGCATTTCAAGTGCTATGAGATCTCTCTGGAGTCTTCTGTTTTCCCCACTGAACAACCCTGGCTCTCAGCCTTTCTTCATAGGAGAGGTGTTCCTCCGGTTGTCCTTTGTGACCTTGCTCCAACAGATCCATGTCTTTCCTGTGTTGAGGACCACAGAGCTGGATGCAGTTTCTGTAGGGTGAAAAAAAAAAAAAAAAGCAGACCAGTTCATGTGTTTTGAAACTCTTGTCTTCAGTTGAAAAATAGCTTCACATGTGATGGCATTGTTTGTGTCAAGCTCATACAACCAGCTGTGGAGTGTGCAGCTTCACGTGATACGTCGCTCCTCTCGCGGTGGCGCTGGGAGGGACAGGTGGATTAATCCAACACATTGCTGCTGCCACAAGAGACTGTTGTGCTCCCACTAAAGAAGGCCTTTCCTGTTTCTTCCTCCAGCTCAGCTGGTGTTGCAGCTCCTTGGTGATCTGATTCAGAGCACTGGGATGGCAGGGTTTGTTTATTCTGTGGATAAGTTTTCAATGCGCCCAAGGGGATCAGCAGGCACAACTTTGGAGGCTGCATGATTATGTGTGGAAAGTATGGGAGGTGGAGAGGAGAGAGTGTCTTCATGAACAATACAGTTGTAACCAGCTATCCAGTTGCTTGCCATCTTGACCACTGTTGATCAGTGCTGTTTTTGATAATTTCCCAGACAGTGTCGTTTGAGCATGGGAGGTGTTATTTTTTGGATTTTGCTTCTTAAAAAAACAATTTTTTTTTTTTTTCAAAATAGGCTTTTTCATGGTGGCATAGGATACTTTGTGTGTCATTCTTGAAATATAGATAAAGCAAACGCTGACACAGACCAATTCAGAGAATAACATGAACTGTAATTTAACTTCCCTAATTTAATGGGTGCTCCTTGCATTTGCTTTTATAACTGTAAAAGAAACCTGTTTTCAGTTTTAGATAATATCCCTATGCTGTGCAAGCTTCCCCTGTGAAAGAAATAAACTTTGGACTCAGGTCCTCCATACTCAAATGGTGGATGGTGTGATATCTCTTGTATTAGAACTGGAAAAATATATTTGGATAACCCTGCTAAGTCCATCATAATTATGCAGCCTGTTTCTGAGACAGCAGCTTAAAATTGCAGATATTTCCAGCAGACGTGTAAAACACACTGGCATCAACTGTATATTTTGAAGTGCCTAGGAATGTTTTGTTTCAAAAGTGATACCTATATATATAATCCTAATGTTAAGAGTATTTTTTCAACCATTTTTAAGAGTGCTATCTAAAGTTAATATTGGATTAGAGTAAATAAATATTTGCTTAGTGTTCTCCAGATATAACTGGTTTCTCTAACTGCTCATGTTCTGTGTAGATTTTAGACTAAGCAGCAGGGGAAACTGTAAAATTCATGTTCCAGAAAGTTTAATCTGATCTGCCATTTAACAAATCAAATCTTTATTTTTTAACCTTGCCCTCCTCAGAATGGCTTTTATGTTCCCTGTTGTCCTCATCCCTGTTTGCCCCCCTCTCCTTCTGTTTTTTCTCATTGCTTTATATTGAATTGAGGATTGACTAAGAAACTCAGGATTATTTTTTTCTTGCAGAATGGTTCTGCTTAGTATTGTTTGACTAGCAAAAATGGAACTTTATTGAGCTCTTAATGCAGGAAAAATTCTAGTACCCTGTTCAAGGTTCAAGAGCTTCTTATTGTGGCTTGGTAAGAAGATCTGGATTGTCTTTGACTGCGTATATATAAGGTTAGCTAACAAGTTGGAAATTCCATCTCTGGTGCTTCTGACTTAGAGCAATTGTATTGCTGTGGTGGATTGGGGACAACATGCTAAGAAATAGGTAGCAATTAATTAAATTATACTCTGGCTAACATAATGAATGAAATGTATAATTCTTGAAAGTATCTTTTGATTTTTATTTTTTTTAAATTCAGTGTGATAGGAGAATTCCACAGTGATGTGTGTAACAAGTTCACTTAGAGCAGGCAGTTTCTTCAGTTTCACTTGTTAACTTCATAGCAGTGTGCTTCACTGACTTGGCAGTCAGATGTTTAATGATGACTCTTGTTTATCTGGGTCATCTTAAGTGTATCTTGAGAGCATTCCTTTGAAATGCTCTGAATGGAAATACGGAAATTATTTTTTGACCTTACTTGCATCTTGCATCAGCTGCTGGGCAAAGCTAAATTAAATGTCTCATATTAGAAATGCTTTGTTGCTTTAGCTGGGTAGTGGTGCTAGGCACATACAGAAGAAGTTTTCACATATAGAAGAAGTTTGCTTGGAATACTTTGCTTATCATACAGTACATTTCTCTAGTGTGTTTTGGCACATGAGTTCTAGTGGGGTAGCTAATTTATTTTTAGTTCAAGTGGAGATACTCTGTAGTAGTTGGCTGTCTTTAAGCCCTCTCGGCTGGTTTGTGTTCGGTTTCTGAGATTCTTTTTGGTTTGCCTGCTGTCTAGCTGGATCTCAGCTGTTCTTTTGTAAATTACTTACTTTCCAGTTTTGTTCTTGCTACATTCCTAGCAAAAATAGGGAATTCAAAAGAATAGAGAAAAATTAGTTTCTCGCTCTCTAGCAACTGAAGCAAACTCAAGTGTTTTGTATTTGGAGTGTGGAAGCAAAATTACCATCTATGCTAGGACTTCTTCCAAGAAGTGTCAGAATATTTCATTATCAGTTTTTTTTTGTTCTTGTCTTAACAGCTGCTGTATTGTAACCTTTGGTTTGTTATTAAAAGCCATGTTTCAACTGTACAGGTGTGTTCTAGTCACTTATTTTTGCAAGGAAATTAGTATATAGGCAAGTACATGTGTATTAATAAAATCAGATTTTTTTTTTTTAGGAACTAGGATTTTTATTAATGATTTTAGACTGTTACATGGCGCTTAACTTGGTTTTGGAATAGATGAAACAGAAGGACTGGGTAACATGGAAGTTATAAAGATTCCCAATATCAGGGGAAAAAAAAAGTTGTAATTTTTTTTTTTTTAATTCAGCTACAGTTAGCTATACTTCTGCTGAGGGTCATCCATGCCTTAAGAAAAACACATACATAGGATACCTTTTTTGCAGATTTCAGTTGTTCTACTCAAATGTTGAAAATGTCAGTGCTGAAAAAGTTAAGATTACTTTTAATTTATAGTTCTGTGATTATTTTATTAAATAGCCAGAATGTAGGAAGATCATGACTGCTGCATTTGGAAACCAGAAATTTAAAACCCTTTTTTTCTTCCCCTCTAGATTTTCAACTGAATTCTCATCTATCAACACTGGCAAATATTCACAAGATTTACCACACCCTCAATAGGCTGGTAATGACTTGCCATTTTCTCTTAGCAGAATAGCTAGGGCTTTGGTCCAGAATATTTAATGATTGAAATCATTAAGTGATTACACTTCTAAAAATTATAACTGCCTTGTTGTATGAAAGGCTGTTTGGTTTGAATTGGTGAAGAGATAAGCAGTATTAGTAAAAGGTGAAAGATTATACTCCAGAGGTCAGAGTGGAGTTTGAGCTTTGTTTGAACATTGGATTTAGATGTTGCCTCATGCAAGAAGCTTTCTTGGATGCATTCAGTGATGGTAATCATCACAGTTACCCAGTTTCTTGCAGTTCTTCTGGAAAACATATTGAATGAGCAAGCTGTCCTCTTACACCCATGCAGAAAGTGAAACAAGGTTTTTGTGAAGACTCTTCCTGCTTATGTGCTGTGTATTTACATTTGTTTTATTGCAGCCATAGCTGGAAATGGTGATATGGCTTCTGTGTGTACACTGCAAATTTAGTGGAAAAGACCCTGCCTAAAGAAAGGGGTAAACTTGTTTCCAAGGTTTCAGTTGGTTTTTAATCAGTTTCCTTTAGAACACATATGTGTGTTTATCCTTAAGCAAAGCCATTTCTGTGCTAAATGGTAAATTCAGTCTTTCTAATGCCGCATTTTTTGGTGGAATTATTCAGTAAAATAATGCCAGTTCTGCACCTGATGGGTAGTTATTTCCACTGTTGAAATAATTTGATATGTTTTTGATTGAAAAAACCTCAAAAATATTTATCAGATTGAATTTACTTGAACTTTTTAGATAAATTTGCAAGCGTAACTTTTTAGGTAAATATGCGCTGAAAACACAAAGACTACAGTCTTACGTAGATGATCCTTAAGTAATGAGGATGAATATTAATATCAAGTAAAATTTAAAAATAGTACAGAAGAATCTTGTTTAACTGTTATTCCTGTTTCTTGCAGAATCTGACAGAGGACGTTGGTCAAGACGATCACCAGACAGGTATTTAATAGGAATGAAGTAAAAACAGATTGAAACAATTTAAACACACTTTATTAAACAAGTCTCTCTAACATAACTGAAAAGGATGTTTTAGAAGGCTAGAGGAGTTTTAGGAAATAAGTGCCTGGGTTTCTTAGTCTTTTTCAAGACAGGTGTTTGTGCTTTTAATTTATCAAATTATGAAGGACTTGAACAGGTTTCAGCAGTATCTGTAATTTTACTGTCTCTTAGTTTAGAAGACTTAATGAAAAATTTCTCTCACTCCTGGGACTCAGCTTGTTGGGGAACAGAATATCCATATTCTTAGAGTGTTTTGAGTCTTGAAAGAGCATTAGTGAGAACAGAACAGAAGCAAGGCCTCTTCTGGCTGTTGTGATGCCTGTGACCAAGTTTAAATGCTGTACTCCAAACAACCCGCTTTTTTCTTGACTGATTCTGATGCAGGTTTTTTCTGGTTCTTGTGCAGATTTTCAGTCAGTGTCTGAGTACTATCTATTTTTGAGTTCATATCTGTGTTTTGTTCCATGAAGTGTTACCGTTTTTTGAGGCCTTCTTCTCAGGTGCCTGGTACCAGCTTCCTGTCAGTCTTGATTTGTCAGCATTTGAGCTTTGTGACTTGATGTTTTGCAAGAGTTCTGACCTCCTTTTGCACTGCCTTCAAGCCCTGATCACTTGCTCAGCAGAACTATTCTTTAAAACTGACCATGTTTGTCCTACCATCTGACTCAAAGCTTTACCACTGTCCTGAGGTGATGGCTATATTTGCTGATGTTACCTTGAGCATTTAGGAAAGTGGAGAGAGTTGTCAGCTCCTCCTGGAGATTTCTGGCACACACTTAAAAATCTAGCACACTCTTAGCCTAGAGCAATGAGAAGAGATGCATAGGCCTGCATTGCTTGGGATTGGACAGAGCTCACTTAGGGATTATGAACCCGCCTCTGTACAGCAAGCAAGTGACTTTGTTTCATACTTGAACTCTTACCCTAGCCACAAAAGGAGTCTCTGAAATACTTTCCTTCAGTGTGGTTAGTGATTTGATACTTGAAATTAGCTCATTTTGTAAATGAAAAGCCTCTAAAAAAGAGGTTGTGACTTCTTTTGTTGAAGATAGCCGGAGATTTTAGTGTCCATATTTTAGAACTGATGTCTTCTCCCATCTTGTGATGGAGACTTGGAATTTTCTCCTATGTGACCCAGGTGCTCTAAACTGACCAGCTACATACTGATTTAATGTATGAAAATGTGTTCTAGAATCTTTGTTTACTCTTGATCACCAAGACCTGTTGTGAAGCATTGAGGTAGTCCCCTTCTGTCACTAATCAGTAAGTGTTGATGTACTTGAGGTATTTGCAATTTGTCTTACCTCTTGCCTAGCACTTCTGTCTTAAAGTATAAGAAATTAGCCTTGGTGCTCTCATTACCTCTATTGGAAAGTGCTTGAGCATGTTACCATCAGTGTCAGTGTAAAACAGTGAAAAAACTTTCATCAAAGCCAGTATCCTATTGCCTGCAAGCTGTTGTTTGAATTACGCTGTTTCAAAAGTGTGAATGTGCCTGTTGAATGAGTTGAGGCACAAAATCCCACTAAAGAGTGCAATTTTTTTGCAATAGTTGTAAAGAACCATTCAAACCAGAAACAATTATGAAATGAGAACCAAAAGTAGAGGTTGATAATGCCAGGTTCCCTCCTCATCTTCAGATATTATTTCCACTGTTTCTTATGCTTCTGCCCTGTTTTATGTCTCCTTATAGGAAGAGATGAAGCCCAGATGTTTGCATAAGTTCCAGGCATGTTCAGTTGAAATGTGTGTTTGGTTTGATTCATATGAGGACAAATACACATGCAAGGAGCTATTTTGGCCATCGTGAGTGTAGTACAGTGAGGTCTTCTGTTTCTGTTTTTTGTGGAACGTAACACTTATGAAACATCTTACTTGGAAAGACTCACATAAATCTATAGAGTTACTTCTGAAAATTGTTTGATTTCAATGTGCCTAAACTTGTGGAACTTCTGTTTTCCAGCAAGAAGTTGTCAAAACCTATTAATTTTGTTGCACAATTTATAGAACCGTATAGGTGCTGTGAATTTGAGATGCTGTGTCTAGAACTCATTTCAAAGTCAGACTAAGAACTGTTGCAAAAGGTTTGAGTGTTGCCAAACCCATGTCAAGGTTTTTTATAGTTCTGAGATTATTTTAACACTAAATCTTCTGGCCCAAGACTTATTCTTAAAGATTGCTGTTCATTTTCTGCCATAATTATCTGGGTTATTGTCATTATGTTGTGGACTTTGTTTTTGGGATGACTCAATGTACATGTATCTAAATTTGATTGGGATTTCTAAAAGCGATTAAAAAAATCTTAGTTTTAGGTTAATATTTATTAACAAGAGTATTAACTTTTAAATGCATATCACATTTACCTCAAAGCAGTTATTGCTAAGCTAACAAAAAATGTCTTGGACATCTAAATTACTTGAAGGAAATTGTATCTTTTATAAGTATTTGCCAGATTTCCTTTCTGAAACCAGCCCTTAAAACATCAAAAACTACAGGGAAGTGGCAGTTTCAAAATTCCTTCAGTGATTTGAGAGCTAAGATGGATCTTGTTTCAAAATTCCAGTCTCCTCCAATGGTTGCAGTCTCATGCGCTATCATTCAGTATGCATATCTGTCTGAAAAATGAGATAGACTTCAAATATGTCATGGGCTTTGCCTTTTCACCTGTTTGGAGGTGTAAGAACAGCAGGCATTCTGAGTCTGTAAACAATTTATTTTTCTATTAGTATGTATATGCATTAACTTGGAAAACTCACGTTTGAAATGAGTTGCTTTTATGTCATAACTACAAATCTAGCAGCTTGTTAATATCTTACCATGATTTGGTAATTAAATTGTGAGTTACTTATCCAGACTAAAAAGTCTTTAAAAGTATGCTTCTTGTTGTCACCTGGCTTGTTTAAAACAGTGAGGTTATCTGTTCGACAACAAGAAGGCTTCACTGCTGTTCATCAGTCTTTGGGGGAGAGAAATTGCTTTTGCCTCTGCTGGTTTTTTCTTTTGTTAGATTAGAGATGAAACCCTTCTTGAGTCCAGAGCAATTCTGTAGTGTGGAATTCAAGACAGAGAAGATGAGTTTTCCTTTTGCAGCAGGATTGCAAGTTGTTTAATGTTTTGATGAGTATCTTTGCTTTCTCATCTTGTGTCTGAAAACTGATGATTGATAAGTGCATTTGTGGTCATTTTGTTTCATTATGAAGTGATCAGCTATATCTTCCCAATTGCTTCAGCATGCACAGTTTCTAATTAGTTTTCCTTTGAAGCATCCTTCTACTGAAGCATCAGAAGAGCAGGATTCCTCACAGGATTTAGCTGGAGAAGGTGTAAATTCCATGCCTGTAAATAATTTCTGTAGAGACACAGCTTGTAGAGTTCCTCTTCTTTATTGGCTTCTTTTTTCTTTTGTTTCTCTGGTTTTGTTGCTATTCTAGGACTGTCCGTCCCTTGTGGGTTTTATTTTATATATTGTTTCAAATTTCCTAGGGTGAATTTTAGCTCTTGAATTGATTCTTCCCTTTGAAAGCTTTGTCTCCTGTAAATTTGGAAGTATTCAACAGGATGTTTGGCAAACAGCATTTAAACTCAACAGGCTTTTGGCTAGTGGTGGTCTATTCAGTAGGCATTTGGAGCTCTACCTTGCAAATGCTAGCTTCAAGTGTCAAAAAACCAGTGAGAACTAGGAGGATTCTGCCAATCTTGAGTTGAGACCTAGGAGTGAGAAGCTTTGAAGATAATCACATCAGCAAAGCTGCACTTGGTAAGTAAAATTCTGTCAAATTTGCATGTAGTAAGAGGTGGCTGCATGTTTGTTTGCAGATGGTCAGACCTTTGGGAAAAGAAATTAGTTGTGCGCTGCTAGGCCTAAAATTACATTTAGAATTAGAAAGCTCTATGTAGGAAGGGTTAATATTGCTATTTAGTGAGCTGTATTGTGAATTGAGAAATTACAGGAGTTCCAAGTAAAAAAACCCAAACTGATAATTTTTAGCTTTACGTGAAAATGAAATAAATACTCTGCTCCTGTTACAGAGAAATTGTAACTGCCCTTCAAATGTAGCACACCAATTTAAGTAACAAAAGAAATGCTTTGAAAGTAAAATCCTTACACTGTGTTTTTTAGTAGTTTAGAGATTATTCAACAGTTAAAGTCTAGTGAATACTTGCTCCAAACCTCAGTTACTAAGATGTTAAGTCTTGGAAAGCATTTACAATATGTTTGTCCACCCGGTGTCTGTGTGCTGTCAATGTGTGAGAGCAGTGTGTGTGTGCATTTAATAGCCACCTACCAATTTCTGAGCTGTCTCTTTTCTTCCTTTTTCTGTGCCTTTGAGAGCTGCAACTAGATACATTCAAACCAAAAAGGATACAAGTTTTTCATAGGAGTCATTGGAGAAATTGGGGTGTAGTGAATTGTGATCAGTTTAAGCCTTTAAAACAAGTTCATCAATCTTCTTAAAAACATTCTATCATTCAAGGAGGCAAAGAGTCCAAGCTGGAATTCTTGAATTAAATTCTTTGGTTTGTATGGGGTTGCAGGTCTGACAAAATGATTTCTCTGTTCTGTAACTGCTTTATTTTATTATTTTTTATTTATCTTTTGCTTTGCTGCTTTTTTCACAGAGGCCTTGCATATTTCTTTTCACAATCAATTGATCAGTAAATTGCACAGATTTGTAGGGGGTGAGGGGGATGTGTGGTTTTTTTCTTACATTTTACCAGCATCCATCGCAAATGGATTTTTGCTTTTTTAACAGAAAGCCACTTAAAAGCAATCAATTTGCTCTCAAAGGAATGAAATAGCTACAGGTTATACTTAAGTAAATGCATATTTACCAAAAAGAGGTGTTTACTATCACAATTTCATTTATTAAGTTCAGTGTGTGTCTTAAGTCTGTTGGCTCTTTCTAGCCATCTGTTGAGTTCTGCTGTCATCTTAAATGTTTTTAGTCTGTGTAGGCTTTCAAAAATACTTACTGGCAAAGTCTTTAGAAATTTGATTTGAAAGATGAAGTATCACAGATTCAATAACTTATGAGAGTAGAGTTTTTCAGTATGATTAATGTGCAGGCATAATCAGATTGAACAAGTGACATTCAGCAGGTCAGGTTCCTTAGTTTGTTTAATTTGCAAAATGCCTTGGGTGTACTCTGAGCTTTTTATGGTCTCTGGCTTACCTGTTTAAAGTATATCTGGAATTGTTGAGAAGAAAATAAATACTATTGTAATCAGGAAATACTAATTTCCTTTTGTAATGCATTCTAGACAGTGCTTCTAGAAGTATGTTCTTCTGACACAGCCGTTATGATTTTTTTTTTGCTGGTAATAGTTTATGGAGCATAATACTTGCAAGTTTTTTGATGATAATTTACATTGTAATTTGAATTGACAATGCTGTTAATTCTCTTTCAAAAAGACAGTGTATGGTCATACTCTTCTGGGACAGTAATGAGGAGGGAGTTTTAGGGTTAAAAAAAAAGAACATGTAGGAAGAATTCTTTGAATTGGAGAGTATTTCTTGAACTAGAGAGATTAATTTTCTTCTTTATAGATAGAAATTAATATAAAGGTAAGACCAAAGAAGGCATACTTAGTGTAAAAGCTTTATTAGTTGAAACCAGATTAGTTCATCTTGGTGTAAAAATTGGGTTGAATATCTTACATGATACTAGAAAAATATGAACATGATACTGGAGAAATATGTACTTTCTTATGGGTTAGCGTTTCCATGCATGTTTGAAATAATGTACGTGTAGCAAAGCCTGTGAGGCTCTAAGGTTCCTTACTTGTGTTTCTCCTATAACAGGAGAGAGCCTTTCAAAGATTCGAAGAATAGGTAAGCAAAAGATTGCTGTCAGTATTTGTTGGGAATTGGGCCTCTGATTTCAGTCTGTTCCCTTGGTGTCAAAAAGCAGTCAAAGTTTTATTGCTTGCTTCTGTGCTGTGATGTGAGATAAAAGATTTTATGGGCATCGTAATTGAGCATAGCTAAACTTGGGTGCTGTTGTAGCAAAGAGAAGATAGCTTAGGAATGCTGGATTTCTTCATGTTTTCTTGCATATTTCTTTGGCATCGCTTTATGTCTGGATTTTTATACCTCACTTCTGTCTTCCTTTTCTTTTCAAGTTCTCTGTGTAGTACTTAGAGCTGTGATAGCTCTTTGAGCTGCTCTTACACATGCCTTTCTCAGGTGTCAGTGTGGTCTTCAGCGTATGAAAGTAGGACAAAATTATGCCTGGAGTGTTAGCCTACTGTTTTCATGAGACAGCTGAAACAATTTAGTGCCTTCCTGTGGCCAAAAGGGCTGGTCCTGTGCTCTTTCTTGTGCTAATGTATGGAAAGTTGTTATTCTTTTTTCCTTGGTTAATTATCTACAGGTTTGGTGAGCTGGATTGGCACATGGAAGAGTTACCAGAGACATAGGAGTATGTAGCTGAGAGAAGGGGATGGAAAGACTGCCACCTGATTGGCATCAGTGTCTGGAATTGGCTATTTCCTGCTTGGGGACCCTCATTTTTTGAGAACTGTTCAGTCCAAATAATCCAGCCAGCCACTTACTTTTTTATCCTGGTGATTGCTAAATGTCTCTTCCCATCCCAACAAAACAAAAAGCCTCCCAAAAAAACTGGAAAAAGACCTCTCACCAAAGAACAAACAAAACCTTTCCTACCTCTTGCTCTCTATCACAAAAAACTTGGGGCTTGAAAAGAAAGGGTTCTGCTTTCTAGAGGTAGGTGTTCACTCCCATCTGTATTTCAAAAAGCAATGATCCGCTCTTAGAACTTGTGATTTGAATAAAAGACTAAAAATAAGAATGACTTTTTGAGGACCTAAATACTTCTTCAGGATAGTGCCAGTTCTTGACTGCTGTTAGACTGAAGTAATGCTAGTGCTACTGTACATTTCGATATAGGACTTTTGACCTTAATGGAAATGTGGTCATAGAATACCATGTAAACGTGAGAAGGATTATGCTATTGAAAGGAGACCATTTCTTTTCTAATTTTTTAAATCCCCTAACTTCCTTCCCTTCCCTTTGTAATATGCCTATTAGTGGACACAGTTTAACTGGTCTGCAACAGTTTCATTTCTTTGTGCTGGTGTTTTTAATTCCCTCTGTAGGAAGTCTTCGGTCTTGCAGTTCATCAGACTGCTTTAGTAAAGTGATGCCTCCAAGGAAAAAGAGGAGACCTGCAGCAGGAGATGATTTATCTGCTAAGAAAAGTAGACATGATGGGTATGTCATCTTACCATGAGCTAAGACTGATGGAATATCTAAAGTTGAATAGCTGATATATCATGTGTTTAAATACTAATGAAAATAATAGTGAAATTTACTTGGTTTCTCAGTGTGGAACCATAGCTGGTGATTGAACTGTGGAATATTGATAAGTATATGTAGGTTCAGTTTGCATCTCACCTTTCTCTAGATGTACAAGAAGCATGTAGGGAACTTCTTGCTCTAGTTGCCAGCTGTCAAAATGTGTACTTGTTTGTTCAAAAACAACCTCTAAGAACACAGTACTATTTTCTCATATACATGCATAAGGTCTGGATTGGCTGTTATCAATCTCTAGCCTGTCAAAAAAGTGAATGTAGTTATAGTCCACTCAGCTCTTAACAGGGAGAGACTAGCAGGATTTTATGTTGTGGTTTGACACTGAACATATAAGGGGACATTGCCCAGGTAAGGTGAGAGCCAGTGGTTCAGCGGTTATTGAGGGGCTTCTCACTGGACAGCAGAAGCCAAATAGGTTCAAGAGAGTGCATGAACAGTATACTCTTTTGGCATGAGGTATTGGATAGCTGAGACCTCTGCAAGTGTTGGATTTTCAGCATGTGTAGTGTGTTGAGTCATTCAGAAACTATTGAATGTGCTCTCCATGTGCAAGAATAACTGTTTTTGAGGACTAAATTCAGAACTTGAGGCTGTATAGAACTGCACACTGCTGAATGATAGATGCAGGACTGTTCTGATGTTGAAAAGTGGCGTGTAGAAAGTTTGCTTGGCACTGCATCAGTCAGTAGAATTTGAGCTCTATTATGTGTTACTGATGTCTCAGAAAACTCGTGCTTCCATAGCAAGTACCTTCAGGGAAGTTAAAAGAGGCATTTTTCTCCGAACTATCAGCCTGAAATCAGGCTGGGTTCTCTCCTTTTTACTCTAGCATGAGTAAGAAAAATACTGGTAGCCAAATTAAGCCTCTGGTCATGCCCTTATAACTCCATTGTGTTTAATAGGGTTGCACAACTGTAACTGCACTGGAATTTATTAAATGATCTGTTGATGCAGAAGAAAGAGATTTCAACTCTCTCTTTCATTGCTTTGTAACACTAACTAGAACAAAAAAGCAGTTCATGTTCTTAATATTTTTTGTTACTTTTCATAAATAATGAAATATAAAAGCTAAATAATTGATAGAGGGCATTACGGCTTATTCAAACATAGACGTACAATGTGGCAGCAATACAAGGACAGACTCTTCCTAGAATATAGAGAGGTTCATAAAGCTGAACTCTACCTGCCTTAGCCAAGACACTGATGATAGAAAACAGCCCCCTAAAAAGTAAGCTTGCCTGTAAGTAAGAAATACTGATTTGTGTAATTACATAAGAAAATTATAAAAACCTGATTTTTTGCTCTCTGAATACTAGATATTTAATAGTTTTTAAGGGCTTCTTGCAAATGTAATTTGAAGGATTTTTTTTATATCTACCTCTCAGTTTATACCTAATGGATCTAATCTTCATTTTACTGCCATGTAAGTCTTTATTAAAAGGAAGATCTCAGCCTGCTTTTAGAATTGGAGGAGAAACCAGATCTTCTAGTCGTGAACCATGGGGTAATATCTTCTGATGTGGTTCCAGTTTTTATCTGACTGACTTCCTGTAAAGGTTTTTGAGCTTTCTCTGCATCCCAGAGTGTTTTTTTTGTTTTGGTCTCCCAAGAAAACAGTTTTGTATTTCAGCATGACTGGCAATATGAAATTATTTGCTGCACATTCAGCCTGGTCTTGAAGCTGTATTTTCTTTCAAGGAAGGATTTTTACCCCTGTAATCTTCTGTGAGCAGGTTAGTCAAAAAACAGTCTCCTACTTCCATGCTTGTTTTGTCAGGTGGAGTTCATACCTGTCAAGTTTAGTTTTTGGATCAGACATCTCAGTTGAGCAGAAATTGGTCTGAAATCAGGAAACTCTGCAGCAGTGTGCTGTAGCATACCTAGCTGGCAAAGCCAGTTCTGCTTACATTGTGTGCAGAGAATGCTATATACAGTAAAGACAGTATAGTGGAATACCAGTTTATAGAATAAGGGGCTCCTAGGCCCAGTTCTGAGCTTCTGTTTTAGAGACAGACTTCCTAGAAGATGCATTCTAGTAACTCAGGATAAGCCTGCACAGGACATTAGTTTGCGTGGATTCTGTATTAAGTGAAGAAAGGCAGTCAGTGTCTGAAGAGCTACACAGTCCTCTCCAGAAGGGCCTCTGCTTCCTAAAAGGAGAGATTTGTCACTTCAAATACTTAATGGAATGACATAAATTTTTGTGTGTTTCTCAGCTACAGTGACGTGCTTATAGGGTCAACGTTAACAAACTCAGTAATTGCAAGTGTCCTGTTTGTTCACAGTGTGAAAATATTGGGTAGTAGTCCAAAGACTTTCAAGGGATGTCATCATTAATGGTGTTTGCACTGCAGCTGAGACTGAAGGTTGATGATTTTTTTCTGGTTTGTCCAACAGAAAAATGTGGGTTTTTAAAATCTGTAATGGAGTGTTTTGTTGGGTGATATTTTCAGTCTTCACTATTTTTTACTCATTCTTATAATCTCTTCAAATCTGATGGGAATATTTTTAGATGTGCCTTCTTCCATAAAGTTTCTTTCAGCAGGTCTCTATGCTGAAAGAGAAGATAGTTTCTTAAGACTCTTAAAGTCATAAAGTTAAACATGTGTTACACCCTTAATTTCAGGCTGGTAGGAATACAGCTGCATCTCAGAAGCACTAGTGGAATGCACAGGCAATTGAGGAAAAGCATTTATAGGAACAAATCTAGTTGTGAAATTATTTGGAAATACTGATCTAGTGCATAAACTGATTATAGAAGACTCCAAGCATGTTCATTAGTACTCCACCTCTTACATAATAAGAACTTGAATTCTCTTAATTGGTGTTCATAGCATCACCATGAACCATGCATGAGTGCAGTGTTTCAGTGAGGGTGAATTTTCATACCAGGTGATGTATAATAAAAACTCAGTGCTTTATAGATAACACTAAGAGTTATCTTACCTTAAAGAATAACTGTTGGAAGTAAACAGTTGAGCATGTGCTAGCTTGAACATAATGACTTGAAGACTTAGTTTTTATTTTTATCTCAGTGTCAAAGTCTTGACTTTATTGTACTTAAAGCTGTACAGTATAGAGTATTCTCAAATTGGAGTTAAAATTGCATTTTCTGTACATTGTTCTTCCATCACTATGTTAAGCATCTTCAGAAAGGTAGAGCAAGATTCATGTAAAGATACTTGATAGGTAAAATGATAGTCCTCACTGGGTAATTGTTTTATGCTGCTTATCTGTTACACAATATCTAGCCAAATAGGGAAAAAATAGCTGTTTAATATAATGTCTTATGTTTTGACAGTCTCATTTAAAAAGTAATTCTACTCCTTATTCTGGAATCACACTAAGGGCAAAAGCCTTGCAGTAATGGGTATTGTCACTTTAGGAGGATGAAAACTATGAATATTTATATACTTCCCTGAAATTGATGTTTTCAAACAATTAGATAAATGCTTTCAATGAATTTACCCTTATGTGTGTAGGAACCACAAAAGGGCCTACTAACATGAAAAGTAGGTTTTCTGTATTGAATAGTAAACTCCATACTCTGTAGTGGAAAAATGCAGTTTTTGAAAACACAGTGTCATTAACATAAGATGTACTAACTTCCAAAGTTTTCAAAACCTTTAGTGTTGAGAGTTGGTTTGGTTTTTGTTCTGCTGTTGTTTACTAACTGGTTTGCAGACCACCTGTGTTCCCAGCTGTCATAGGTGTGTAGATATTTTCCTTGAATTAGGGGTTTTCGGGTACACACAAATACAATTTTTCCTTTTTCTATAGCTTTTCAGCACACTTCACTTAAACTGGACACGTGACTATCAGCATGTGTGTTGTTACACATACTGCTCATTAAGTAAGCCTGATAAAGTTCCAAACATTTAACAGTTTAGAAATGATTGTAAGTATTTAAATAAGGGGAGATAAGGTATATTCATTCATAAAACTTGAAAGTCAAGTTAGTCCTGGGGGTTGCTTTAAACTGTTTTTTGTCATGTCTTGCAAATTGCAAAACATCTCTTCTCCCACCCTTCTTTCTACTACAGTTTTAATGAAACTATTGCTAGAATCATAATTGTGAGTGAATAGATAAGGCTTTATTAAAATACTTTCATTGTGCTGCATAGATGAAAATTCTCAGCCAAAATTTTAAATTAATTAGTATTAATGGAAGTAGTGTAGGGCATCTTCTTCAATCAAAAATGGGCATGTTTTGAAAAAAAAATAATCTGGAAGCAATTAGTTACTTAGTTCAAAACTCAAACAAAATTCAGTAAAGATTTTGACTAAGTTCTTTTTGCTTAGAAACAAAGCTTCTGTTGATGAATATCTTGATGTCTTCATTCAGTAAGCATTGACCATCTGAAATAACTAGGCTGTAGATCTCCATGAGAGGCTTTTGACTTACCATAATAAAGCATAGCTTTTTTCCCTTCCCTTTTTATTTTTCCTTCTCAGTGGATTATTACCAGCTTCTACCATGAAGAGACTGTTCAGTGTGACCTAAGCTCCATGTTTTCACTGATCTTGGTTTGAGTGTTCTGGAGCTACACTGCCCAGAGTGGGTGCAGTGGGAGGGGCTGTGGCTGGAGCTTTAACCAACTCCAGTACAAGTGAAACATGCTCAGAGCAGCAGATAACCCAGCTTTGAAGACTGCAGGGAGTTGAAGAGAATTGCCCTTACCTTGTTCTTTCAGCTGGCAGCAGCCATCAACTTTTACAGTCACATGCCTAGTCACCCCATTATAGCTGGATGGAATTTTCATGATTTTGTTTTCCCACCAAATCAGTTAGGAAGAGAAGAAAATAATCTGGAAAAGATGTGGAGCATGTGTTTAAAGTTCCCACAAAGCATGAAATGCCTAGGCACGCAGTTTTAAATATTTTTTTTTTTTTTTTTTTAATGCTTGCCTATATTACTTCCTATTGTCTTACCTTTTTTTTTTTTTTTTTTTTTTTTTTTTTTTAAATGCTTGCCTATATAATTTCCTATTGTCTTACCTTTTTTTTGCTGGTATATTAGAATTCCCTACCTCACATGAATATTTCAAATGTAAATTTGAACATGGATGTTACGAGTCAGCTATTAGGTCATGATAGAAGTGCAAGCCTCTCTGAGAAAATGATTACATTTTGATGTGGTTAAGTAACTGAAATCACTTTTACAAAATTTAGACAGGTTATCTCATGTTGCTTTTGCCCTGCCCTGTCCCACGTTCTTTCCTCTTTCTAGCTGACAAAATGACTGTTAGAAATAGATAATAAAAAAGAAAAACCTAAATGCTCCTTACGGGATATTTGTTAGAAATAACTTGCATATTGCTGTCACTGAACTGACAGTCATACTAAACTAAAAAAAAAAAAGCTATTTTTCAAGTGGAGATTTTTCTGAGTCATTGTACCTATGTGTGTTTCATCTGAGAGGAAAATACATAATTATTTATATTATGCCTCTAGGTAATACCTTTTTTTTTCTTGCTGTTCCTGATGGATATCATGTAACGAGTCAGAAATGGAAGGGTAATTCTAAAAGCAAAGGTTCTGAGTTTGGTATTGTCTGGTAGTGATGAGTATAGCAGACACTCTGGGATAAAACTGTGCATGCAGCTTTCTAACTGATGATGGAGAAGATGCCCTTTAGCAGTCCTGTTTTGGTGCCAGCGTTCTTTGACAGTGTGCAAATTCTAGTACCAAAAGTGCTAGGTATATTCATTTGTTCTTCCTTTAGGAAAGGCATCTTTTTGAGTTTTTTACTTTCTGCCTGTACCTTGCCCCCTCTCACCCTCCACCTCTTTTTTTGTTTGTTTTGTTTTGTTTTTGTGAGCATGTGTATTGTTTCGTATCTGGTGTGTGACACTTTCCTGGCAGCTTCCTGTGACTGGCAGTTTCCTTTTACAGACTACCAATATAGAGGCAAATTGCTAAGCAGAACTTGGTTGGCATAATGGGTTGTGCATCTGTTTGAAAGTACTGGTGCTGGTCATCTTGATGAAGCTGTGAGCCATTGAGGACTTGCTGTTTGTGAGATCTGTACATTAGATGTTTGGTACTCCCAAAGTATTCAGATATCTACTCTGTGCACTCTGGCAGTGTGTTTTTCTGCATAGCAAGAGATACTGTCATTAGAACAAAGACAAGGCACATCATCTTTCAGTATATACTGAGAAATTCCACAGAGATGAGGAATACTGCAAGATACAAAATGGATGCCAGATGTGTCTGGAAGTTTGTGTTTTTCTCTTCTGTAAATATGATTCTTGAGGTAATCAAATCCATATTAATAATAATTCAGAGGATTTAGTCCTTGAAAAGACTTTTACTCTGTGCCACTAGATTGAACCAAGTTGTCCTAGGCTGAGCAATCTCAGGTACTTGTCTATTTACATGTTTGCATCTCCCCACTCATCTTGCTTCACTAGGCACTTCAGAGATTAGGAGTCTCTTGCTAGTAGAAATAGTTGGCTTGGCTAGGCCGGGGTGAGAAACTCATTTAATGTTTGGAGTAAGCAGGGAAAGAACAGGGTTTGTCTTTATACATGAAATCTCTAATTCTGGCAGTGCATAGTCTGTTTTCATTATAAACATGATACAGTGTCATCTGCACTGTTAATGCATGTCTGACTAATTAGCTTATAGCAGAGAGTGGGATATTTCAAGATTATATTCCTTTTGATTTTATTTTCTGAACTTGTGAACTGGCACAAGCTATAATATCTGTAATCAGTTCTGGCTTCTCTAAAATTGAACTCCAGTGGTCAGGTATAGAGCTTTTTGAACTATCATAAGTTTGAGGCAAGAGCATTTTCATTGGAGTTACTTTGCCATATGTTGGGCACATGGACTTAATTTATTATTATTGCTATTTCCTGCAGTTCCTGAACTGTGACATTAGCCCTTAACACAAATGACTTTCAATCTCATATCAGTTGTCTGAAATTCTTCTGCTATGTGCAGATGCAGAGAATGTATAAGAAGGGCTGTTTTCTTCTGTTCTTGCTCACCATTGCTATTATAAATACTGCTGGCACCAATGTCTTTTTTCAGGCTACAGTATTTAGCTCTGCTGTTTGTAGATGCAGGAAACTTTTTTTTCTAAAATACCTGAATGACTTACAACTCTGTCAATAAGTCTGTTTCTTGAGAGTTCCTTCTTAAATGCACTGTTCGCATACAGACAGCTTAACATGTTGATGATTTACATGAACAAGCAGGGCAAGACAATTGGTTATCATCCCTTTGTAAGAAAAAGCATTGAGTCTTGTGATAAATACCTTTCTTTGTGAACCTTGTTAGCTTTGCCATGTCCTCAATCCCAGCAGTACTCTTACAGACTTCTTGAATAAAGAGAATAAAGATGTTGACTAGCTCCTGCTACAGTTTCCAAGTTGGTATTCTACTTGGTGTTTGTCACGTTTGTGACAAAAGAGGGGATACTGAATAATTAAGACTTTTGCCAAAGTGGCACAATGCCTCCTTTCTTTGTCTTGATTGCTCTGAATTCAGAGTAGCCTAAAAATTATTGGATAGGTCTTTCATAATCACAGTTCAGTTTGCAAGTATGCTATCAGACCTTTTTAAAAAAAATTATTCCACCTCAGACTTATAACTTCTGGATTAGCTCTTACTGAGCGATGCTGTCAGCCTTTTCCTTAGCAGCTTCAGTAAAGCTTATGCAAAATAGATAATTCAAATAGGAAAAGAGTGTTTTCAAAATGAAAAACCCCAAATCTAAGATTGTGAGTATATGAATATGTGTTTGGAACACATATGGCTGACATTTCTATGCAGTGTTCCAGTTTGTTGTAGATCAGTGTGTTTCAGTACAGTGTCAGTTTTTCCTAAGAAATTTCTTAAGAGCCTCATTTGTATTTGTCTTCTAATTAGCAATTTATCATTTTGTTCTGACTAGTATTACTTTTCTAAAGGTTAGCTGCTTTAAAGGAACTATGACAGTAAACATGAAGTATTTCTTTGAGTTCCTGTCAGAATGATCTGTGTGCTGTTAACTTCTAGCTACTCTCCCTCAGAGCTGATAGCTGAGCTAGGTGGAGGATAGTGGGATCAGTGTCTTCTAAGCTCATAAATCTTAGTGTCTTTTATATGTCTTTCTAGAAAGACGAAACAGTGATGAAATTAGATCCAAATTAATTTCTTGATTCAAATGGTTTCAAAATTCTCCTTGAACCAGTTAGCTGCTTCATTGTCTTCCCCCATCAGGATTTGACATTGTGAGAGGAAACTCTGCATGCTTGGAACACTTAGAGCTGTTCTTGGCTACCTCCTCTAGACTAAACCACTTATTTGTTGCTCTTTTCAGCCTTTCTGAGCCCAAGCTCTGAAGAGTGGTGGAAATGGATCAGAGAATGCATATGCAGCAGTGGATAGCTACTTGGACTGCTGAGCCTCTTTCCTCTAGCATGCACAAATGATACTGTGCCGGTTTCAGAAGCTCTAACTGGGGGAGTGACCCTTCACATTGTGTCATGTTTTCTGTGCTTTAGGTGTTTCAGATACTAGATTTGTTTCCTTAGTCTACTTAAAATTCCTTACACTTCTTGTTGAAGGAGAAGAGCATTACTCTGCTGGTAGTCTCTGGGGGAAGGGGCCAGCTTTTCAGATGGTTCTCTGTTCCATGATGAATGACGTTCCTTGAGGTGTTGTCTATGAGGATTTTCAACCTTTTTTTCCCGTGGTTCTTTTGCCTTATGAACTTACTGGCTTCAGAATAATGTAAGTGTAGGTCTTGTCTCTTTGGGCCTTATGCCTTTTGCAGAATCTTTTCGAGGCAGCAAAAAGAGTGTTTGCAGTTTTTTTTAGTTAATAATTCAAAGTGCACTTAGAGGTAGGACCTGTGTTGACTGGGACATGGAATTACTCTGGCCATAGATCCACAGCTGGATTGCAGCCCATCAGTTGACTGTGGTAACTGGTGGTGTAAGGCAAGGCCTTACTGTGAACTTTTACAGAACAGTTTGGGGTTGAATTTGAACTAAACTATATTCATTTGAGGTGAAGGTCATTTACATGGGTAATGATTATGAATCGCTGGAAGTATGACAGAGTGAGCAAACCAAGTATTTAGTGTCATTGATTCTTAAGCAGTGTTCCAAATGACTGGATATGAGGACAGAATGTTAAGTAAACTGAAAGGAATAATGTTTCTCCTAAAAGTGGCTGTTGACTAAAAGATCGCTTTTTAAAAATGTTGACAAATTAATTACTTGTTTCTCTTTCTTTTTTCTAAGTATGTATAGAAAATACGATTCAACTAGAATAAAAGCAGAGGAAGAAGAAGTCTTTTCAAGTAAGAGATGCTTAGAGTGGTTCTATGAATATGCAGGTAAGTGTGAAATGCAAATTTCCTACCAATAACAATTAAATTTATATTGGAATATGAAAATTGCATTAACTGAGCTTTCAAAAGATGGAATAGAAAAGATTTTTTGTAAAAGTCTTAGGAAGACTTTCCTTTATCCTGTGTGATGTGAGGTTGAACAGTTCAAGGTTCAGTTTTGTCTTTGTCTATATCCTATAAAAAGAATACAGAAGGTGTGTAATTTGAAATGTTTTGGAGCATGTATATGTTACTATTCAAATCTACAGTTGAAGCTGTACTTCTGTTCAAAATGTTGTTGCCCCTCTGTCATCTGCCATGTTAGTGCTGCATAATACAGAATTAGCCTCAGAAGTGGTGTGTCTTTAATTAAAAGAACCCAAAGGGTGAGGGAGGTAGTGACACTAGTTTTGTTTCTGCTGAATCTGGTGCTTAGGGTTTCAAGCAAAGAAGTGAATGAATTAAAATATCCCATACTAGTTTTATCAAATAGTTTTCCATCACAAGGTATAGGGAAGGTAACCTGTATTATTTATTCTTGCCCTTGTGTATGAGAACTTTCTTCAGGCGTTATTTCTAGGAATGTTAATTATGGTCTGTGGTCACAGAAGATGATCCTTTATTAGTGAAGTTGGTTGTTGTATTTTCCTGCAAATGTTTTCTGAAAGGAAAAATTTGGCATATGGGGGAAAATGATCTCATGTCTGTAAAGACCAGAAAGAAATTAAATAGATATTTTGTGTTATCTTGCAGTTTTCTGGTCATGTCTTGAATAACATGTCTAGCTTGTTCTGTTTTGTCTACTTTTTAAACATAATGAAGAGTGACTTAATTTGATGTAATAAAACATTTTTTTTCTCCTAATAAAATTATATAAACTAAATTAAATACTTTGAGATCTCACTTGTCTGTGGAAGTCTATGAGAGGAGATTCAGACAAATTCAAGCCAAATCTAACCTGTTAGATTGTCTGCCTTTCTGACCAGCTTGATTTATTTTTTTACTCTAGCAACAGGCATGACTCATTTTTGTCAAGACTTTCATGGAAAGAAAGGATGAAAGGAAGGCTGTTTGTGAAAGAACTTTGGGGTTTCCACTGGATGCACACACCAAGATAAAACACAGAAAAGTGGAGAGTACGAGTCTGTTTACAGTATTGAGTAACATTCTAAAAATTGAATTTTCAAGGAATAATCTCTTGTGTTCTTGCTTCATAAGTCTTCTTTATGTATGCAGACAGTTGACATAGCATTTAGGTTTTTTCCCTCCCTTGGTGTGTTTTTGCATTACAGAATGAGTCTTTTTAAAGGCTGCTGTGTACGCTCTGAGAACTGAGAGGCTGTTATGAGAAGATGGGAAAGGACATAATTAAACCTTGTTATTTCTAGATTAGATCACCTAATAATAAAATACAGATTAATCTTCCCTTTATAAATCCTGTTTTTCTTGCACATGTGATCTTTATGTTGGAGGAAAGTAGGCATTTCAGCGTGTATTTTTTTCAAATGAGCCCTTTTAAACATGAGTCAAATAATTCTAACAAAATAGTTCAAATACTTAAAGTGTAGAATTGCACAGTACAATTCTTAATGTCTGTATAATTTTTTCAGGAGTATTACAGAAGTTACAAATATTTTGATTTAACAGCATGTTTTATTAGTGGTGCATTTTAATAGCATTTGTATTTTGAATCCTTTTTTTCCTGTTAAGTAGACAAATAAATAACTGTAATTCATTATTTCCTTCCTGTTACATTTACTGTTAGACAGATGATGTGTGACCATGGTGTAGCAATATGAATAAGCAGGATAACATTATATAAAGAGGATATGAGACAATGAGGAATGAGGTTCTGGGAATGATAATGCCTTGTATCCTGTATAGCTGTACATCTTGTTTTTATGTCATTTGATCTTGTGATAAAGTAGAGACTCCAGACAGGGAATGAGTTTCACTAGTCATCGTCCACTCATTTAATTGGGTAATACTATGTGCGTGTTCTGTTAGTCTTAAGTGCATTATAAAAAAATCATACATAGTTACACTTTCAAGATTATCTCAGTAAACGACTAAAAAGATTTGGCAGGGATGAAAAGTTGTTTTACAGTTTCTCTGTTTTCAAAGGTGAGATAAAGATTTAAGTGAATCCAAGTCTGATAGTGCGGAAATATTTATTTCATGCCAAAACAAAACAAACTGCATGAAAGTTAGGTTGCACTATGTGATTGCACTTCTTTTGTGCTGTAAAGGACAGGCTATTTTGATTTTTAGAGATGAGTAAAATACATTTTGTTTGCAGGCACGGATGACATTGTAGGGCCAGAAGGGATGGAGAAATTTTGTGAAGACATTGGAGTTGAACCAGAAAACGTAAGTTCAGAATCCGTTTTAGAAATGCCTCACCTGCTGTGGTGTGCATGAGCTAGTCTTGCAGTTCTTGCTTTTCCACCAAGAATTTAAAAAAAATCTTGAGAGTTTAAAAAAATTCAAGAAATAGAAACCAGGGAGGTTTTGAAACACATTTGGGAACAACTTGCCATTACTTTAAACCCCAGACTGTCAACCTGTAAAACCTCAATTTGTCTTCACTGCCGCCCCGCCCCTTCTTTGACTTTAAGACCACCAACCTTCAGGCTCTCCAGAAAAAGAGAGATCTTTAAAAAGAAAAAGCTGATGATTGTCTTCTCTGAAACAATGAGACTACATTCAAGATTTAATATAGCGACTAACAAACAAGTAGTGTTTCCTTTGGGTTTTCTAGGACAGAAAGAGATTTCAAAGTAGTGGCACTACCATTATACCCTTTCAAAAAACAAATAAGGAATATAAATACAGATACTTATTCTGTATGTGAGGTGTGTATAGTTATATAAATAAATAAAATCTAAAAAACAATTGTGCATTTTACAGGCTTTTTCCTAGTGCCTAATTTTTGTTCTTTAAATGCATTTGTAAGTCCTGTCTTTTGCAGAATCCATAGAGCTTCATATAAGTAAATGAGAATTGTGGCTTCGAAAGATGTACTGGAAAGTCAGATGTAATTTGCTAATTTCAGAGTTTAGGATAATAATAACTGTTGTGATTTATGCAGACATGTGGAGGTATAAGCAGGTATTCTGATTTCTCATTATAAGCTGTACAGAGTTGCACTAACCTTAGCTAGTTAATGGCTGAGTTGCAAATTTAAATGACTTAATTATTTTTTTCTTCAGGTTGGCAGGGTCAGTTATCCTGCAGGTTTTTCTTTCACATATTTGTCAAAAGTGGTTTCTTAAGTTGATAAATAAGATAATAATATTATGGTATTGCTTTATCTAAATACTTTTTTGCTTTGGTCTTCTGTGTGAGATGTGAAAAGACTGTTTCCTTTTGGGCAAAACTGAAGTATGACCTATCAGCCTGTGTTTTGATGTGTATTAATGTTAGCTCATCTAGATTTACTTATCTGCTTGAATTGTGGGATCATGATTAACTTTCAAGTAATTGATTTCACGGATTGCAGGTGATTTTCATTGAGATGAGGCTTTAACAAATGTCAGGTATAGTTTGTCAAACTGATACTGAAATTTTGTAGTTACTTTGGGAAACCTTTTCTGCAGTTTTTGCACCAATTCATCTTCTCCCCATTGTATTGCTCGTGAGATGACTGATAACTTGGGTAGATGTTCACTCTATATATTTGTACTGTTACCTTCTTTTCATTTGGATTGTGTACAGGTTTGTCATTTAGGAAGCTTAACTTCTAACATAGTGTAGTGAAGTTCTGAACTTTCCACTTATACAAGTAAAAGTATTTGTATCCTACTAAACAGTGGTTATTTATAAAGCACATGGATCTTTTTGTTAAATTCTCAGTCTCCATTTTTTTCTCTTTAAAACAGGTAGTAATGCTTGTGCTAGCATGGAAGTTGGATGCACAAAACATGGGTTACTTTACATTACAAGAATGGTTAAAAGGAATGACATCACTACAGTAAGTGCCTTGAAAATTCTTATATGTTTATTATAGTAAACACAGCTTTTCAGAAAACACACTTTAGTGTTTTGACTCATAACACCTAAAGCAAAGAACTCTGCCACGGAGTAGAAGTCACAGATTTTTGGCCTGATTTATGATAATATGGTCACTTAGAGACAACTTGAAACCTGATATTGCACATTTAAATACAGTTGGATTAGAAGATCTGCAGTCTCAATAGAAGAGAAATGTCATGAGGTTTGGCGCTCTTTCTGTCTTTCTGTCCCCAAGGACACCAACAATCTTTGTTGCTGGATTGCACGTATCTTTTAGATGTTGTTAGAGTGATTTAAAACACTAAATAATACAAACCCTTTCTGTAACTCTGCATTGTTCTTTCTAAGAGTTTCTTTCTCCAGTTAAGAGCTTAATTTTATGGCAAAATTAACGTAAATAGTCATGAATATTCATGTTTCATAGGGAGTTGGAGAAAGAAGGAACTGTTTTGACTTACTTTCCAGAAGAGAATTACTAAAACTGTGTAAGCAAGATCTGTAGTTTCAGCAAGACTTTAGAAGTATTTTTCACTGCTTTGATTTGAGGTTTGTTTGCCATGCATGGACAAGCTCTTAGTTTTGTCTTTTGGAGAGTGCATTTTTTACAAAACCAGTCAGTCCCAGTGTAAGACTTTGCTACTTCATCCGAATTTGTTTTACACTGCAGCTTTAATAAGGCATTTTATGCAGACATACTCAAAAATACGTGTCTGTACAGAGTGGTGTGTTTTGAACAGCTCAGTGGGGATACACATTAGAGATTCTTTCCTAGAACATCAGACATATCAATAAGAATGCAGACTCTAAACTCACTTGGTGCTTGTCTTGTAGGTGTGATACTACAGAAAAATTGAGAAATTCTCTGGATTACTTGAGATCTTTATTAAATGAGCCTACCAATTTTAAACTTATTTATAGATATGCCTTTGACTTTGCACGGGTAAGTACTGTGCATTTGAAATTACAAACTTTGCTGTCATAAATAATAATTGAAAGACTGTATACTTCTAAGTTTGTTTCTCTGAAGGTACCACTCAAGATTGCTTTGAACAAATGGAAGAATTTGTGTTCTAAAACAATGTATGCAAGATGTCAAAACTGGAAAAGTATATAGGATGTGTAATGCTTAGTGGTTTAGTGACATGTATTGTTACATCTCTGCCTCAAGCTATTTTATGACTTCAGGGAAATTATTTAGGCCCCATTCTGTTGTATATTGGAGCTTTATCACTGAGTTCCCCTGAATTTATAATTTACTGTGGTTTTTCTTACTCTGAATTTTGTGAGCATAAACTTATTTAAAACAGGAAGCCACTTCACACATTTCAATAGCTGATGAAAATGGGTAACATGATAAAAGCTGGATATGATATAAATACTGATTCAGAAGATTGTTGGAATGGCTTTAATGATGTTTTCAGTATTTATTAAAGAATACTCTGATATTTGTCTTCCTGCTATAAAACATGGTTTGATGAAATTTTTTCTGTAAGGGAACCAATATACATAAGATTATACATACTTGGAAGGAGTAATAAGAGAACTTTATTTTCTGAAATAACATCTTGAAATAGAATTTGGACATCTGTTTTGCTAATGTGATGGAGTGTACAGAAGATTTAACATAGAAAGGTAAAACTGAACCTCAGATTTCAGTGCAAGAAAACTAGAAGTACTAAGAAAACTTGCACCAAAAAAAAGTAGCATGAGAAAATCAGAAAAATAAGAAGAAATTGAACGGATAGCAGTTCTGATAGTCTGCCATTAGCAATTCAGATTTTTGGTACCTCAGTCTTTTTGTATCTCAGCATTTGGATTTTTGGTTGTTCACTTTTAAACAAGGAAACTTGCAGTTAAATAGAAAAAAATGCATGGGATTAGTTAGTATGTGAGGAAAAGAAAAGCTATATCAACCTCTTGCTTCATACAGCAAAGGAGGAATTTTTATATCCTGCTAGTTTTGCTGCATGTAATGCAAAGGCATTGCCTAAGAAGTTCAAGATACTGATGAAATATTTGGAATAGAGAGCAAACCTGTGCCAGCTGATGGCCTGTCAAAAGTAAGTGCAGATACTTCAAAGGTGGATAGTGTGTGTGTTCGAGAGGTACTGAACTGGTGTGACAAACAGTGGTCTCAAAAAAAAAATTAAACATTGAGACACAGGTGCTGTGACTTCATTTGTGACTAAAAGCCCCTGCAGATTATAGAACTTGAAGTCAATGATGTATAAACTGGGGAATATTTGGCTAATATGATTATTGAACTTTGCATACTACAGACTTGGGGAAAGTCTATAGGAGAATGGCATCCAGTAAGAATAGAAAAGAACAAAGGCAGGTATATTTATAGATGTCAGATTAAACTGGGCATAACTTTTTTCAGGATCACTGAAGTGATTGATAGAAAAAAGCTGATGGTTTCACATTCAGGAGATTGTATCATTTCTGTCCTAAGGATAATTCTTTCAGGGGAGTGCTCTATGGCAAAAAGCCACTTGTCTAAACTTCCTAAGTTTTAAGGGAAAATGTTTTTAAAGTCTGTTGATTTGGCATTTGAAGTTAGTTTGTGAATAAAAATGTGTCATCAGGGCTTCATGTGGCATGCATGATTTAAGTCAGCATAGATTTGAGGAAATCATTTATAACACCATATGTTGATATTAAGGACAAATAACATTCCTCAATCCATGTTTGCCCTTGTTATTGCCAAGTTTGAGAACATACAGATGCATCTATTGCATGGCTTAAATTGATCTTTAATGTGAAATACTAAAGGAAAAAAATCTCAGGAAGACTGCCTATCATTAGTGTAAAACAAATACTCAGATAAAATAATGTTGGTTAATAAATTCCTTCAACTGTATCCAAGGAATGTAAGTGTCTGGAATGTATGCTAAGAATGCAGTTGCATCATCTGTCATGGCAGATGTGCCATTAGGCAGTTGGAGGTGGGTAGAAAGGGCTTATCTGAACAATTTGTTCTGATCAGTAGTCTGAGAGAGAGAATGTAGAAATGTAACAATATAAGGCATGAAAAACCAGTGTGGCCAAAGTAAAGGCAATAGAGCCTGATTTCATTAATACTTGAGTGTGTGGGAAGAATTCAGAGAATGAACAGTACGTAAAATAAAATGTATTCTGGCAGCAGCATTATTTCTGTTTTAAAGGTACTTGTGACAGAAGTGTAGATGGGCTTTGGAAGGAGAATTAGTTTTTAGAACTTTTTGAGGTTGGAAATAAGTGAAAGATTTATATCATACTAGTAAAGAAATCTGCATTAAATTCTGTCTATACAATTTCAGAAATGAGGAGTGTTTAGTATGAAATGAACATAACCTTGTGACTAGGGCATTGTTGTTGACTGAGAACTGGGATGTTGCACTGTCAATTCCTTCCTGTATGATAGAAGACAATTCAGTTAGGATTTGAGCTTTCTTTTTTTTAATAAAGATGCATATCCTGTAATACATACAAGTGCATTTTGCAGGTGAAACACAGGGCACAATTCCCTTTGTCGTGGGCAGCTAGCTGTTCTGCAATGATCTGTTAGACAGTCCCTGCATCCAGAATATCCCTGCGTGGGATATGTCCTGGTGGACCTCAGGCTGTCCATGAGTCAGCAGTGTGCTCTGGTAGCCAGGAAAGTGGTGTCCTGGGCTGCATTGGGAAGGACAGTGCCAGGAGGTTGAGGGTGGTGATCCTGCCCCTCTGCTCAGCCCTGGTGAGGCCACATCAGGAGTGCTGTGCCCAGCTCTGGGCTCCTCAGGGCAGGAGAGACACGGAGCTCCTGCAGGAAGGAAGTCTGCTAAAGGGCAGTGAGGTTGGTTAAAGGATGGGAGCTTACCAGTGTCTATCAGTATCTGCAGGCAGGGTGTCAGAGAATGGATCTAGGCTTTTCTCAGTGGGGCCAAGCAATAGGACAAGAGGCTGTAAGCAGAAAGTTCCACCTGTGAATATGGGGGAGAACTTCGCTGTGCAGGTGACTACACAGAGATTGTGGAGTCTCCCTCTCAGGAGTTAGTCAAGAACCACTTGGGTGCAATCCTGTGCTGTGTGCTCTAGGGTGACCCTGCTTGAGCAGGGGGGCTGGACCTGATGGCCCACTGTGGTCCCTTACCCATTCCATGACTCTGTGATACCTTGTATTTTCTTAATTTAGGCTTTGCAGTCTGCTGTCATAAGTGCATACACAGGACAAGGGCTACATTAGCTAATATGGAAATTTATTTTTTGTGATTTCATTAACTTGTGAATTTGTAGCTCAGTATTAAAACCAAGGCATAAAAGTGTGGGGGTTTATGTCTCATCTCTCAGCAAAATTGGTATATTTTCATTATAACAAATGCAGATGAATAAACTACTTAACAAAATGCAATGTTACTTTGAGATGTGCAGAATTTGTTACTTAATATTTGCCACTGGGTACAGATGCTGCTGCTCTTACTTAGCAGAAACAAAAAAAAAATCAGCCCTTAAGCTTAAATATACTGTTGTTACATTGAACTAAAACTGGACAGTCCAGAGGGGAGTCTCAGTGTGCTAGTGTCCTATGTTCTGTCTGCTCATTTGATAATTTAATCTGAATTTAATGTAATCAGAATAACAGAACAGAGATCCTCCCTTGGCTCACTCTCGAGGAGGGAAGGTGTCAATTAGCGCTGAGTGTCTATTGACAGTCGATGTAGTTGTAATGATAGGGTGGGAAGTGGGGACAGCACTGCTATTCTGAGAGGTGTGGCTGTGCAGAGGATAAGTGCCAGCGTGGCTGGGGATGTGGTGGCCATTGCTTGCTAGGGAGGTCTGAAGTCAGAAATGACCTTATGCCTCATCTGCCATAACGGTGATGTTTTTGTTGGGAACATCTATAAAAAGCAGCATCTCCATATAACAAGCCATTACCTATAAGGATGGAAATTTTACTGGCAAGTTGTGTTTTATTAAAAAACACTGTTAGATACTGCTGTATATTATTTACATGATAATTTAGTTTGTCCATGGGTGAGCTGTGGGGGAAGTGAAAAATCTGGAATTCATGCTCTGTTTTCCATTTTGACCTTTTCATGCAGGAAAAGGACCAGCGCAGCCTAGATATCAATACTGCCAAGTGTATGTTGGGCCTTCTTTTAGGAAAAGCATGGTCTCTTTTTCCAGTGTTTCACCAGTTTCTAGAGGTATGGAATTGGAAACAGAATTATGGGGGTTTTTAATCTGTCTTCTCTGATACTTTTAACTTGAGGTAGAATGAACAGCTAAGAATGCTGTGTTCTGATTTAGAAAACTGTAACCACCAAAGCAGCACATGCAGCTGGTTATCTTCCCTTTCTTCCTTTTTCCCGAATCCCTATGCTGTTACGATTTGTGTAATGCAGAACAAACCAGAATGTTATTTATTTGCTTTTGGATTTTATTTTATTGCTGTATGTTTGCCCTCTAAAAGATGTCTTAATCAGAAGCATAATTCAACACTAGTTTCTATACTTGCTGGTTTAATCCTTTTTAGTTTTAGATGGTATACAGATTAAAATAATAAGGCACCAAAAAGTTTAAATTTTCTGTAAGAAAATCTGAGTTTGAGACAGTTGAAAATACATTTCAGTAATTTCTGTTTCTTGCCTCATGCAGCAATCAAAATACAAAGTTATCAATAAGGACCAATGGTGTAACGTTCTTGAATTCAGCAGAACAATTAACCTTGATCTCAGTAACTATGATGAAGATGGAGCCTGTAAGTACTACCATATGTTGATGTTCTGAAATAATTTATTTCTCTGAGCTCAATCAATCATTGTTCTTTTACAAAATTTGGTAAAATACAGTTATTTATCTCTCCACAGGGCCAGTGTTGTTGGATGAGTTTGTGGAATGGTATAAAGGAAAACAGATGACATAGGAGTTTAACTATGCACAGCCACTCAAGAGTCACTGTTACCACAGTTATGTCAACCATTAGCCATAAACTGCTATCTGTATCAAAGTGCATGCTGCTTTTCTTGCACTGCATCCCTTTGGCAAGGAACTTTTGATGTTTGCTATTTAACAAGCTAGCTATGCTTGCTGTTTAGCATTGTTCTCTTTGAAGGCTGCTTTGCATTTTGTATTTACACTACAAATTGGTGAACTTGCCAGAGTCTTCACTGTGATTATGTGTATATTGCTGTCTAAATTTTGTATATGTGTATAAAAGAAGGCTTCACCTAGGAATTATTTCTGCAGAAACGTATTGTAAAAATAATTTTGTGGCATATTTCTAATCATCACTTACATGTCTGTTGAAACTTCAGTTACTTTGTTTTTCTTTTGGTCTCAAATGTAGCATTTCAGTCTTTCTGGCCATAGTTATGTGAAGAACTATTTACGGTTTCAATGTTACTATTTGAGATGCCAATTTCTGAGAAGACATGCTGTGATTTCCTTCACCAGAATTTGCCAAATCTGACCTAATGCTATATAGGAATGAAACATTGATGTCTTAAAAAATATATATACATATGAATATTTAAACACTGTAATAGTTGTACATGCCACAGATGATTTCCATTTGAAGAAAAAAGTACTGACTTTTTAATGTTAAAACTGCAGTAGTCGTTACAGGTACAAAAGAACAAATTAAAGTACCTTTTAAAAATGGGTTTTAGACTTTTGTAAATTGCCTTTGGCATACTCCTTTTAATTTTTGGTGTACCAAGAGTGTTTGGTCTGTGTTGTGATCTAGTGACCCAATGACATTGAAAGTTCTAGCTGGAATAAGTGGTTTGGGGAATGAAGTATGCTCACCCCCAGCACAGACATAATAAAGGTTTTGGGGATTATTTTGTTTGTAGCACTAGTCTTTCCAAGGGCCTCCAGCTTCGTGTTTCTAAGTACTTGAAAATATGATATCGGAAAAAATACGATGTTGAATAGTCAAAATATTACTTTTCCTTTCCTGTTGGGGATTAAGGTTTCCTAGCAGAATGTCCATTGCAGGCAATGGGCATGTAAGACACCAGCATTAAGTGACTACTTTGTAGTAGGGACCACTGCCTGTTTCACTCATCTCTATCTGTATGGGATGGTTCTAGTGATTATTTTGGGGAAAAATGAATGAATGGAATAATGTTTAAGTTCTGTAATTTTGTCAAGTTGTCTTTGCCTTACCCTTCTTTATTAATGTTAGTGTTGATATTTATAAATAGGTCCTTAAAGTATCAGGTGCTATTAAACTTTTATCCCTAAGGATTTATTAAAATGTTACTGATTCATGAAGCATTTAACAACAAAGGGCCAGTGGGTGTTTTGGAACAACAAATAACATTACTTTTCTGTAGAAATATTTTACAAGGTATTGGCAGTTTTGTTATTTCCCTAGAAATGCCATCCAGGGGAGGAGAAGGAAAGCATTTTAAGTTGAAAGTGAAATTCTCTTCTGTGTTGAAGGTTCTATCCTTGCTGTCAAGTGAGGAACAACTGCCATTGGCTTGACTCATTTCAGGATTAAGTCTAGGAGGAGGATTAGCAAAAGCACATTAGTTTGCTGCCCTGGGCCAGGAGGTTCTAATTGTCCTGGTACAGGTGGTCAGTTGTGTTCAGATCTATTTGTTGTTGTTCTTGGTTTTTGTTTTTCAAGCTCAGCTGCCAAAGACAAAAACTGTGTGTCTGTTTGTGTATATTTGTATATACGTAAATATACAATATACATGCATATACGAAACCTAGAATTTCACGATGCTAAGAAGAAAATACTACCTTTCCTGTGAAATAGCTACATTTGGATTTCCATAATACTAAATAGTGCTTTTTAAAGTTAGTAGTGGTAAAACATACACAGTCAGTGCTTTCTCATGTACTAATGCACATAACCTTAATTCCATGTTTGATGCCAGTTTGCACAAGAAATTGAGTGGAGTGTGGAATTTAATGTTTACAATAAGCCTCTTAAGAAAACACACCTTTTATTAAGGCTTCTGATGTAAATGTGTATATTACAATAGCATTACCGTAATGAAATGCCAATGGAGCTGCTGGTTTAGTTCTTCAAAGAATGAACTTAGAAGCAATATGACTTAACATTAGGCCAAATTGTGATTGCCAAGATTTTAAGTGAAATAGGTGTAATTGTTCTTAAAGCATTAAGCTAGCTGTTGACTCTAGGAAACTGTTCAGCACAAATTGGTGTGAATCCTGCAACAAAAACAAGTGTGTATAAAAGGTTTTGTAGGTCACAAATAACTGAGCTTCCAATAATGGAAGCAAGAGCCAAAGACACTTTTAATCTATTACTGTTACAGGCATAGCTTTCATATAACAGGATTGACAGAAGTCGGTTCAGCCAGGTTTTGACAGTTTTGCAAATGTTTATCAGAATAAAAAAAATTACTTAAAAGCAAATAAATGGGGAAAGAAACCTCAGAAAGTACATGAGCTGTGTAAGCAAACAAACTTGTTTTTTTAATTTGGATAGAAGTAATTGGGAGTGATGGAAAGGAAGAATGTGTTTGGAAATGAATTGGATGCTGCAAATTTTTTCTTCCATTTGAAACAGTATGAATCTGTAGCCATCAGCAGATTTATAAACATGCATCTTCATAAAATAAAACACAGATTCAATTAAAGCTAGTAGAGGCAGCTTTACTGACATTTATAGTGAACAAATGGACTAAAATGAACCTGTGTGGTTTGATGAGCTTCCCTGTGCTATCCATCCTGTTGGTTTTGCTAAATAGGCTGATAGCAGAAGATTCTAACATTGCCTGCTCCTGTATATTGGAGAAACTTTTAATAGTTGTGGAAACTTAACTAACATACTCAGTTAATTTGCTTTTTTTGTTTATTATGCTGATAATCTAGCTGATGTCGACTTGTTTTTTGTTTGATTGTGGGCTCCCATCCCAACCCTTATGAAAGGGTTGTTATGAAAACATGCTGTTTTCTGGGACAAGACACTGAGAGGTCATTCCTGAAAAAGTGTTCTGGGTCTTGTGCTAATGTTACTGGTGTACTGTTACTGAACTTTTAGCAGAAACTTGATCATCAATCTACAGTTAATTTTTGGTATTTGGGAGATGTAAATTGGAGAGACAGTTAGTGAAAGGAAAACAGTGTCCAGAGACTATAGCAGTTGACGTTCTTTGAGAGATGGCAAACATTTGGAGCTCTTTGCACTCAGTAATCTTAAGAATCTTTTCAACCTAAATGATTCTATTAATATTAGTAACCAAAACAGTCCATGAATTAAATTTCCTTCTGAAGCAAAGTGATATTAAGTATTTAAAGTATTAATATAATTCTCTATTACTGTTATTTCTTCACTTTTTATCTTTTCCAAGGAAAGCAAGCTGAAGAACATAGAAATTACTGAAAATATTTATGTACTTGAGTTTTCAGTTAAAGCCTCTTTAAGATTGTCTTTAAGCTACAATAACTGCTTGAGTTATCTTTGTGTAGCCATTTCTCATTCTGTAGAGGCTTCTCCCATTTTACCACAAACATGTTTTATTTCATCAGAAATATGCTCACACAATCAAAATTAGTTACAGCTTATTGCTACTTTGTTAATGTTCCCAAGTTACTCTTTTGAAGGACAAGAAGTGGACTTGTGTTAAGGTTTTCCCAGATTTCTGTTGACCCTCAGTCCATAAGTCTCACAAATCGTTTGATACTTTTGGATTTTATATAGACAGCTTTAAAGGTTAGCTTGTGCCCTGGTTCTATTTATAGCTGCTAACATACCTCTTTCTAGGCCTTATATTTTGTCTTTTCATATTGTTGTAAAAGTATATAGAATCCATCTACAAACAGAATGGTTTGTTTTCTGTAATTGAGACCAAAATTCAGCTTTTTTTGGTTTGCTTTTATTTTTTAAATCCTTACCCACTCCCCCACTGTGTGTGTGTGTGCATGTGTATGTGTGTCAAAATAGCACCTACTGACACTGCTGTGGCAGGAACAGCAGTTAACCTGTAACTGTGAATGCTTTACGTCTTAGTTACTTGGATATTACATAAATAAGGTGTGCTAAACTCCTGTGATTCACAATATGATGAAAATACTATTATGCCACCTAACATGAGTTAATCCAGTTGATTTTTTTAGGTCTTTTCTTGGTGTTGTTGTAAAATGGCATCCCAGAAATAAACAGTATTTGTATTGGTTTCAGAAACTGACTTCAGATTTTTCTGTGATTCATACTTCAGAAATTTTCATATCTGAACATACATCAGCAGGCAGCCTTTATCAAGTATTAGCAGGGAATTTGTGTGTAGGATCTTGTCCCCCTGGTTTCTAATAGTGGAGCAAATCGGTATTTAAAACTGTTGGGAACAGATACATGTTTCAAAAAGGTTATGGTTCAAATGCAGTGTGTTGGTGTAAAACAGTACTGTAATACAAAAGTTTTCAACAATAAGTGAATTTGAGCAGAAATGTCTCAAGACTAAATTTTACAGAAGCATAATTGTTACCCACTCATCTTGGTCCAGCCTTTTGACCCACAAGGTCCTCATAGAAAAGCTGTTGATGCATGGGCTGGATGAGCAGATGGGTGAAAACTGAAAACTGTAGGGCCCAGAGAATGGTGGTCTGCAGAGCAAAGTTAACTGGAGAATATTACTGTAACTAGTGCTGTACCCCCAGGGTCAGAGCTGGGTCCAGTCCTGTTCAACAGCTTCATTACTGACCTGGGTGATGGGGCACAGGGTCTCCTCAGCGAGTTTGCTGATATGACAGCTGGAAGTGAAGGATGATAAGGCAGAGGATCATACTCCTTCCAGAGGGATCTCAGCGTGCTTGAGAAATGGCCTGATAGGAACTACATGAGCTTCATCCAGGAGAAGTGCAAAGTCCTGCAGCTGGGAGGAACAGCCCCTGCACCAGTATCTGCTGAGGGCCTCCAGCTGGAAAGCAGCTCGGTAGAAAAGGGACTGGGGGACCTGGTGGACACCAGGTCGGAGACGAGCCAGCAACAAGTCTGTGCTGTGAAGAAGGTGAGTGGTTTCTGATAAAGTGTTGCCAGCAGGCTGAGGGATGGCTATTCCCTCCTACACAGCACTGAAGAGGCCACACCTGAGTACTGTGTGCAGTTCTGGGCTTTCCAGTACCAGAGACACTGTGGCATTCTGGAGAGGGTCCAGTAAAGAGCCATGAAGACAATGAAGGGATGGGAACGTCTCTCCTGTGAGGAAAGGCTTACAGCTGTTTGGCCTGGAGAAGACAAGGTGCTGTGGGAAGTCTTACTAAGGTATTTAAATATCTGAAGGGAGGATGTAAAGAAGACAAAGACTTCAGCCAGTGCCCAGTGACAGGACCAGAGGCAGTGGGCATTAACTGAAACATAGGAGGCTCCATGTGAACATCAGGAACTGCTCTCTTTTTCTGTGAGGGTCACCATGCTGTTACTGAGTCTAACCTGAGAGATACTCCAAAGCCATCTGAACATGGTCCTGAGCAACTGGCTCTAGGTGGCCTTGCTTGATCAGCAGCATTGGACTAGGTGACCTCCAGGTACTGCTTCCAACCTTGACTTAAAATATTACTTGAAGTGGATGTATTTACATTGTAATTAGAATATTGTAATGCAGAACCCATCCTGAAGAAAGTTTTCATTGTGTTTATGTTTCTGATGAAGGCTGGGATTGGCTTTGCCAATTTTCAGAATGTAGGCTGTTGCTTATGTGTATTTATCAGAGGGTGAGTCACAGTCTTCTCTACCATGAAGAATTTACTATCCAAAAAAGTTTCTTGATTATGTGTAGGTTAAATGTGCATGTCTTCTCCTTATATTTAAGGGTTATTTTTCCAGCCCAATTTTCAGCATATTCAGGAAAGGTTGAAATGCTTTGTACCTACAGCAAATGGCTTGACAATTACCAAACTATTTTATGTTTGAAAATGGGAGTTTTGTTTCATCCTGATTACTGTATTTGAAGTTCTTGATCTGCTTTTAAAACTCCTGCATTTTGTCCTGTCCTGCTTCACTGTATGAAGGATTCTGTGTCCTGCTGATCGTGGGGCTTGGCAGACCATTGCCCTGTGAGAAGGGTGTGTCCAGACTATTGCCAGCATCCTCTTGGCTGGTTGCCCATGCTTCATTTACAAATTCATACAGAGTACACTCAGGCACCTTGTTTTATCAAGCCTATTCTGTGACTTTGATTAACAGCAGGGGGCATCCTACTAGTATAGGTGTCCTAGAAAATTCTCAGAGGCCGAATTACTTAATTTTCAGTGTGAACAAGATAGAGTGGATGAAATGTAAAGAAATGTGAGGATACAGTCTTGGGTCAGTGTGTGTGGGACTGTGTAACTACGTGTGTACAGAAGGGCATGCTAACATGGGGTGGGCAGGGAGCAGCAGAGTATGATGAGTACTGTGTGGAAGTCACAGGAAATACCAAGGTTTTGTATTAAAGAGCAATTGCTAATGAAATGAATTAATATGAAGGAGAAGCAGCTGAGTGTTTGAATTTGAATGAAGACATGATAGTAAGAATAGAGAGATGAGTAGCAAAGGACAGTGGCAAGATTCGGCAGCCATACGAAGATAAGTTTGAGATGAAACATAATATTTTGACAGTAGAATGAATACTTTGCCACATGTTAAAATCCCACTAAAAAGGAGCAAATTTACTACGTCTGACAAGAACAGAAACTTTTCCACAACTTTATGGCATAAAGGGAATCTTAAAAATCCTGTAGCTTCTCACAAGTAGTGTACTGTCTGCCTCACCACTGCAGCATTTTCATGGTCAGAAAAAAAGATGAGAAAATAATTTTCCAATATATATTTTGAAATTCTATTAGACTGTTGCACAAGCAAATGGCAAAACATTTCAGTGTATGAGATATCAATAGAGCACTGTGGTTTTTTCCCCATGATTCACAAAATTGCCTTGCTTGTATAGTTAGATTTCTGCAACAACCGAAAGGTGACAGACCTTGGAGAGGTGTTAATGATGTTTGAAGATCTGTAGATGCCAAAAAGAGTGAGTCAGTGCTTTTTGCAGGCATTGCATTTTTAAAGTTGTTTTGGCCACAAAGAAGTTCTGTGGATAATGAGCTTTACTGAGACTGGCAGTGGTGCTTTGTTCTTAGTTTTTTTCTTTAAAGGTAGTTTCAGTGATGTAGTGTGCTATTGGACTTGCTCCTCTTGTGATGGAATTGAAATATGTTCCTTCTGTTTGGAGCTTTTAGGAGTTACCTGTGTCTTTGTGAAAGAGTTTTCCCAGAGTTGTAGCCAGTGTCCTGCATTTTCCCAGAGCTGGGTCTGCTCCCTTTCATGATGACATTTCCCTTCAAGGACTGCATCAGTGGTACGGAGTCTGTTGAAAGGGCCTTGGGCTATATTCAGAGGTAATTTTACCTTACAATTGCTGTCTTTTGGCTACTGATGTTCTAAAATAGCAGTTTTGAACTGCTCTTGATTTTCCCCTTCTAAGTAAATTTCTCAAGCGGATATAGGATCCTTTGTCTCTTATAAAATTACCCTGCCTGTGTCACTACATCTGCAAACTTCAGGTGATGTCACATTATACCTACATTTCTATAACTGATGTTTCTGCAGAATTGAATTCTATTCTGTGTCTTTGAGAAAGGTGGTTTTCTCTCTTTTGCCAAGTTAAAAAGGAATTTTTGAAATGCAATTAAATACTGCTTGGACTTTACTTATCTTTGCAACACCAGGAATTCAGAGATAATCCACAAATGTGGCTCAAAAAACAAAAGACAGTAGTATGTACTATTTCTCTGTACAGGTTGAGTCCCATAAGAAAACACAGTAATAGTAATAATGTAAATTTCCATATTGCATTTATTTTAGACAAAAAGACAAAACTGAGTATCTGAAGCAAATTCCAAGGGAAATATTAGTATCAACAACCAATAATGAGAAAGTAAATATAATTTAGCAAAAGCTTTATTAATATTCTGGAATAGCTTTTTATAAAGTCTGTTATTGGGGTTTTTACGAGTACCCTTCTAAACAAAAGTAATTTCACTTCAAAACAAAATAATGTTCGCACCTGCTGCAATGACATAGATGCTATGGGAGCTTAGTATTACCATTTTGTGTTTCAACTATTGAAGTTTGTTCTCCTGCTTTGCAAAATATTAGCAAATCCATCAAATGCTCTTTTCTTCTTAATAAAAAACTGGTCCTGTCCTGAATTTGTCCGACTTTTTTGGCTGAGAGTTTCACTGGAATTTTGGAGTTCTAAAGTTGTTGCAGAATGGTTCTCCACTTCTGCCAAAGTAGTGTGATCCTTCATCTTGCTGGAATCAGTGCTTTCAGAGATTGTATTTCCTGTAGGCTTTGGTGGGAAGGAGCATGAACTGTATGGTGTGCTTTCATCGAAGAAACCTTGTGGGATTGAGAAGGAATATGGATCCTCATCACTCTGATCCAGTTGGAAGGGATCATCTGTTGTGAATTCTGACTGTGTTTTCCCAGAACTATGAAGATGCAGCAGAACTGCTGTAGGACTCCAAGACTGTGTTTCTTCAGGCAGACTGCGATTGCTGGTATCCTGTAATTCTGTGAATCCATCAGAATTTTCCTCATCAGAACCTCCTTGCATTTTATCTGCACAAGCCTGCTTCTCCTGTGGTAGCAAGTCATCTTGCTGTGTAAGAAAAATGAAATGTTTTTCAGCTGTGTGTTCAGGCAGCAATTGAAGAGATGATTCTTGGCTGGAGTGGAGCAGTGGTGGTTTTTTTACAACTTCATTCAAACCAGTATCAATGGGAGCAAAAACAAAGCCATTGTCCTCAGATGTACTGATGTTTCTTCGTAATGTAGTGTCTGCTTCACTGTGATTCTTTTCAGGGGAGTTCCTGGCTATGTGCTCATCTGTACTTCCTGCTGGTGCATTTCCTTTTTGTTCTGTGTCACTGAAGCTGAGGAAATGCTGTGATTCTCTGGGAAGAAGAGAAAGCTGCAGTTCATCCTCTTCAGAAGTTTTCTCTGTGTCATACGTGGGAAAAGGTTCTAACTTAAGTACCGTGTTACCAAAATCTGTACTTTGGTTGTGGAGAGAATCAGAAATAGAGTTTTGTACTGTTAACTCTGCATTAATGTCTGGTTCACCATGACTCTTCTCAGGGGAGTTCTTGGCTATGTGGTCATCTGTACTTCCTGATGGCACATTTTCTTTTTGATCTGTGTGA